CACACACACACACACATACATTAAAAAAAACAAAATTGAAAACGGACAAAATGATCCAGCCATGTGGCGTGCCTTGAAACCCCCTTCCCCCCTCGACTTCCCCCTAACCCTCCCCACATGAAGCAACTTGTGTTCCTTTACCCACTCCGTTCCTCAACCGGTGCACTCATCCTCCTTTCCCCTGTCTCAATATTCTGATGTGGTTATTATCTTACCTTGTCCTTGTAATCATGCTCATGCTCCTTATCTCCCTCGTCGTCTTCATAAATCAGCGTGGTCATGGAGGGGTGCTCTCTCTCTCTCTCTCTCGCGCGCGCGCGCGTGCGCGCCAGCGCACGTTCGTGCATGCCTGTGTTGTCATGTTCGTTATGGACAACTCCACAAAAGGAAGCATGACTGTGCCAGACAGTTTCATCGGATTTTCACTGACTCATCAGGAGGTTGAACCCCGACAGTCTGGCCGAGATGCATTTGCGTGCGTGTGTGTGATGTTACGCTCCATATACACATTTAAGAGAGAGAGCGCACCAAGCCCGTAGCACCCAGCACCTGACACCAGGCACCAAGCACGTAGCACCGAGCACGTTGCACCGAGCACATAGCACCGAGCATGTAGCACCGAGTACGTAGCCCCGACCACCAAGCCCCAACCACGATGCACATCGACCACCAAGCACCGACCACAACTCGATGCACCAAAGCAGGAGAGAGAGTACGGGAGTATGCATGGGAGTAGGCGCGTCGAGCAGCCGCGACTGTAGACGTGTCTAGTAGGCTCAGGTGTAGGAGCGTGGAGAAGCCCCGTGCGTCTAACAGGCGTGGGAATAGAGCAGGCGCCCACAAAAGAGTGAAAATGTGGGCGGCTTGGGCGTTTTGAGGCTGGGCGGCCCTACCGGTTGTCCAAAGATCGCACGGCGATCCAGGCCATTCCCGGCCCGACGGCGCGAGCCGGATTGCCTCGCGATCTTAAAGTTTTAAGATCGCGGGCCAATCCGGGCCGTCGGGCCGGAAGGACTGCGTACGACCTGGATTGCCGCGCGATCTTAAAATCTGAAGATCGCGGAGCAATCCGGGCCGTCGGGCCGGTACTCCTGCGGACGGCCCGGATGCCAAAATTCTCACATTAGCAATTTTAACAAGTGTAGGGAAAATCTCATTTGGATACATCACATCCTGATAGAGAGAGTAGCAGGGGAGTAAACCCCCTCGTGGATAGCATTGTGCAATGGCGGCCACGTGATGTGATGCAGTGCAACACTCCCCATCCCTCTACCCATGTTTAGAAAATAATGGTACATGCAACGCTCCCCATCCCTCTACCTATGTTTAGAAAATAATGGTACATGCAACACTCCTCATTCCTCTACCTATGTTTAGAAAATACTGGTACATGCAACATACCCATCCCTCTACCTATGTTTAGAAAATAAGGGTACAACCCCCCCTGACACTTCCCACAGCTCCCCTGAGACATGGAAAACATCTTGCAACAGTTTTGCCACAACCCCTTCCTCCCCAGACTTGCAGAATGCATCATACAACACTACTCAGCACTGCCTTCTTCACACCCCTACGCACAGAACCAACTCCTCAGCACTCCCCTTTCCACCCTCCCATGCACATAATCGACTGCCCCCTTGAAAGCCCCTTCTTTATGTCGTGTGCAAGGCCAAACAGTCACAACCCACAACACTTCCACTCCTCAAACGACCCTTAAACTGCCTTTCGCACGCAAGCCTAACGTGACAACCTTAACACTCCCCTTCCCTCCTCGAATTCGTAAAAAAGCACAATGCACCACCACACTCTCCCTCCCTCCGTTGGAGGGCACGAGGTGTAGTTCCACAATAGAGAGCTCCCCTCCCTCCCTCCCTCCACTCAAAGCATCTTGCAACACCCCTCAGGAGTCTCCCTCCCTTCCGCCATGCATAATGCAACACATCTTTATACACGCTCAGCAATCTGCATCCTCTTACCATCCGCACAGAGCAAGTGTTGCAACACCCCTCAACACTTTCCGCATGCCACACGCCCAAGGATTATTCCTCACTCCTGCAGACTCTCGTTCACTCAAGCTCACCTTCATCATTTCAGAAATGTTGCATGCATAGTAAACGCCTGCATATCCCATTTCTTTGTACACACAGCCACAACAGATCATCTAATTCACGACAGAGTACATGGTCGTGATGCCAGAAGATCGAGAATCGCACGAAACTTATAAAAGACCACTTTAAAGCTTAAAAATCGTTAGTGATTATTTTTGCATTGTATTTCCACTTCTACACAGGTTCTGGATGTTGTGGATCGAAAATCTAAAAGCCACTCCACGGAGAGTCAGAGACTGATATTTAGATTTAGGTGAGCCCTTTCCAGACGTCATATCCTATTATCAGAACATGGTCAAGACACAACTCATCATGTTCTCACCCTATTCTGGCACCGCAAGCACCAGTGGACTCCAGCTCTTCAAATTCCTAGACACCTTCCTGAGAGACAGCAAAGGTAAGACTACGGACATTGATGTTTCTTAAACCACCAGTACCTCCCGAAGCGCTCCTCCAAACCTTCTCTTTTGCAACCCACCGAACCTCTTTGTGTCGTGTTGATGCAGCTGATGAAAAGGAAAGATACAGTGGGAAACCGGTCCTTCAATGCAGAGGACCGGTACTCCGACCTGGAATGGTTCGTTTTTTTTTTTTTTTTTTTCCCTTTCTATTTTGCTCTCCCCTATGCACGGCCGCTACTACGAGAAACAAATCAACGTGAAAGCCGTTCAGCAGCTGCAGAGAAGGCGACAATTACGGCACAGAAGATCCGTTTATCTTCAGGACCATGGCCCACACCACGCACACCAGAAAAAATGATGGCAGCGCATCTTTCCATGTTCTTGTGGAAGGTTCACTCACATTTTTCACTTGTGGTGAGTGGTACGGCGAGGCCATTGCTCTATTCATGTGTATCGTCGTTACTAAGGGCTTTCTCTGTATTGGGTCGCCTACAAGAGGGATATTCATTCCCTTTTTTGGGGGGGGATAGTAAGGGGCTCTCTCCAGTGCTCTCCGCATGCACAAAGGACAAAAAATATGGCGGTGTATCTTTCCATGTTCCAGGGAAAGATTCATTTTCATTTTCCACGTTTCATCAGTGGTGGCGCGAGACTCCAAGGAAGCCAGCCTAGCAGCCTCGCTGCTGCAGACATGCACAAAAGACAAAACGTATCCTGCTGGATCTTTTTTTTTTATATTAGATTTTGGACCATTTCTCTACTTATGCATGTCATCGTATCCTTGCTCAGGGCCATGCTAATCTTCTCTGTATCGGGCCACCTTTCAGCGCTGTGTTCATTCCGTTTTTTCTTTGTTTTTTAGTAAGGCAGGGACGAGCAGCCTCGCTGCTGCAGACGTGCACAAAAGACAAAACGTATCCAGCTGGGTCTGTTTTTTTTTTTTTCCCGAATTTGGACCATTTCTCAATCTTTGCATGTCATCCTATCGTTTCTCAGGGTCATGCTAATCTTCCCTGTATCCGGCCATCTTCCGGCAGCATGTTCATTCCATTTTATTTTTTTTGAATAGTAACGGTAGAGACGAGCAGCCTCGTCGCTGCAGGCCCCAGTTCCGAACTTCAAGCCGCCATCCTTGCCTTTCTGAATGGCTGTTTGTTTTCTTTTTTCTCTCGTTTCCATTTTTTTTTCTTTTTTTTTCTTTTGGCGTTTCTGTTTTCTTTTTTGTTGTGCTCCGTTTTGAAAACGAGCGACCACCAGTGCAAGTCCGGGGCTCGACCGAGCCTCCACCAGGCCTGCCCAGCTCGTCCATGAATTCAGGAGGTCGATTTTTTTTGCCCGGGCGGGGTACTGGTGGTTTAAACCACCAGTTCACATGAGCCTAAGTCGGCAAAGCTACCTTCCAAGGCTTGGAACGAGCCTGCAACTTCTCCTTCACTAACTGGTCTGTGGTGTTCCCTGCTGGCCCAGCCTGAATCGAAAAGCTCTCACCACGTAAGCCCGTAAGAGCCATCCTCTGCATTGGGTGAGCTGGCCGTTTACACTATAGAAAAACTCTACCCATCCACAGGGTTCAACCACAATTACCTTGCACAGGTATACCACCGTGATTCTCATATGAACAATGATACTGGGATGCCAGCCCAAAAAAAAACAGAAAACGTGCCCAAGCCAGTTGTTTCTTTTAGTGCGCAGTGGAAATCCATGTCAGGAAGAACAGACTCGGAGGTACTGGTGGTTCACGAGGCATACTACAGTTCCTTCCTTATGACTGCGGCAATTTCTCCCAATCTCAGCTGCCAAGCATGTATGAATTTCTTCCTTATGCTGGGTCTTTGAGCTCAAAACGCTCTCCGATTTATTCGCAAACAGTTGTCATCTACATGGTTCTAGAGATAGCATTAGAGACCGATCCTGGAGGTCCTAAAATCGGTTCTCAGTTACTGGTGTCCTATTACAATTAAGCTTTCTGCTCACACTGCCTTATTTTGACAGAGCTGCCTTGTAACTACCTTGTACCTAACTAGATAAGTCGTCTTGGTTTTGCTCGTAAGGGAGGGTGCATTGACATCACGTCATTGCGGAAGGCAACAAGCATTTCAGCAAAGAAACAACAAAAACAACAACAACAACAACTCTCCTAGCTTGCCGTTCACCATGGTGGCCATCCCATGCAGGGAGCATGCTCATGCTAGCGCTCCCTACTCCCTACTCCTCAATCTCCACTTTTTCTGATCTCTGCCAACCTCTTCCTCCTGTATTGATCCTTGCTATAACTCATATTGCATAATCTTGTCGATTGTACTCATCCTCCACCCCAAAACCCATGGCGTCTACGTTTTGTTCTTAATTTCTAGGTATGACGCCTTCCAGCTTACACTCTCTCTCCTGGACCAGACGGACATCCACAGAAACTTTGAGATGCCGGGACACTGCCGGAATTGGAAGCAAACCAGCATGCAATGCCAATTTCATGCAAAAACTATGCTTCAACTTTCTATCGCGCCATATACCTCATCAGGACGCATACGGAGCATGTTCGTGACACCAGATCCATTCTCTCTCTCTCTCTCTCTCTCTCTCTCTCTCTCTCTCTCTCTCTCTCTATATATATATATATATATATATCGTCACAAACAGAACTGCCCGGTAAACCGTAGGCAGAGAG